CACAAAACTATCCTCAGAGTGAGATTTCCAATCATTAGAGTATAACTATCGCACGCCTATCCATTCACGCCTTGATAGAGATCGAAGACGATAGGCTATACCCCACGTGAGCTGTTCGAGGATTCACTTCTAATCGAACTGCCCCAACTATCTGGCGATGAGTAAAATCACAATCTTCAAATTCTCTCAGCTAATCCCACCGCCAGCTTACTCAACTCAAACAGTAGTGTCTGTTTTTAATCATATTGAAAACGGCATTTCACCAACAACCGTTGAAAAATCACTAGAAATTATGTGTACCTCTACTGAAAAGATACAACTAGACTCCTTCTAAAAACCAACAAATCTTGAATACAATCGGGAAATGAATCTATTGCTCGTTCACAATCAAACCAGCGGCTCCCATACCACCACCGATGCACATCGAAACAACGCCGAGCTTAGCTTTAGTGCCTGGATGAATGAAATCGAAGCGGGAGATAAACTCAAACTCACGTTTCATCTCCGGAAGCAGCGTAGCGATTTGCCGGGCACCTGTGCAACCTAATGGGTGACCCAGTGCGATGGCGCCTCCCTTCGGATTCAACTTCTCAGCTGGAATCTTCAACTTGTGGACACAATATCTGATCATGAATAAGAGTGATTCGAAAACCACCAATAAAGGTAACTCACGTGGCTTGACTAGCGAAAGCCTCATTAATCTCGTATATGTCAATGTCAGCAACTTTGAGGCCTGTCTGAGCGAGGACAGCGGGTATGGCCGCCGCGGGACCAATACCCATAATTTCGGGTGGAACTCCAACAGCCGAGAAGCCTTGGAATCTGGCCAGTATCGGAAGCCCCTGTCTCTGGGCCTCATCACGACGAGCGAGAAGCACACAGGCAGCACCATCTGTCACTTGCGAGGCATTGCCTGCAGTAGTGGAACCACCCTTCAAGAAGGCAGGACGGAGAGAAGAAAGACCTACGAGGAGACAAAGGAGTGGTACGAACATGAATGGAGACAAAAATAAATCACCTTCAAAAGTCGTTTCAGGTTTACAACCCTCGTCCTTCGTCACCGTGATGGTCTTAGACTCACCAGTCTTCGGATCAACAATCTTAGTCACCACTGGTACCTTCACCATATCAAAAATGAGCAGCGGAGCGAAGCAGATAAAAACCTCACAATTTCATCGTCGAACAATCCGTCCTTCTGAGCCCTGCTCGCTTTGAGATGTGATTCCACAGCCATTCTGTCTTGGACCTCTCGAGTGATACCGAACCTGATCGAACTTCCCCAAATCTTCTCCCTCTATGAGCAGCCTACTTAGCGGCGACATTTTCGCTGGTCATGCCCATCGGGATGAGACAATTCCTCGCAGCTTCGTGTTCAAAGACATTATCAGAAACTTTACTCGGGTCCAATGCGGACATCATGTCATACCTGACGATGAGACCAAATTATACAACAGAGAGCTCAGCTCAGACACGTACATGCTCATACTCTCAACGCCGCCAGCAAGGCCCACTTTGATGTAGCCGGCTTTGATATCAGAAGCAATGTTGGCTACCGCTTGGAGACCACTCGAACACTGCCGATTGATTGAAACCGTAGGGACCTCGATCGGGATACCGGCCATCAAGGCGGCCATACGAGCTGGAACAACTCCAGAACCTGAATCGATACACTTTTCCGATTCAATATGTGATCTGAACGGCCTACCAGATTGAAGCACATTGCCCATCTGGACGTCACCAATGGTCTTGGGGTCAACGCCGGTCCTCTCGACAACGGCCTTCATAACCGGACACATCATATCCTCGACCGAAGTGGTACGGAAGGAACCCCTCTTAGCCTGAATCAACCACTAACAACATCGCCATGAACTGTCATAACAACTTACCTTACAGAGTGGCGTCCTCAACGCTGCACAGATAACTACGTCATCTGGCTTCTTCTCATCCTTATAGGTATTGGACTGGCCACCAGCAACATGGGTAGATACAGCAGCTACGCGTTCCATAGATGAATAAAAATGTGACCCTGGCAAGGCTAACTACATGCGACCGTACTCCAACATACGCATCTTCAGCACTACATTTACCATTAACGAATACTTCGACCGAAGTACCCACCATACGAACGCAAGATACAAACCTTCAAGAAAAATCGATCACCCTAGCGAGCGCACATCACAACGGCGCATTTACACTGAAACTTCAACACGGCCTCAGCCTTCGGGAAATATCAGTTAGAGCACAAGAAAATAATAATCAGCGATAATAAATATGTCCATTCTATCAGAGGAATATAGTAGATCTAATAATGTGAAAAAATACCTAATTTCCGCCGACCATCTGGATCCCAGGTAGACTCTCAGCCGCTTGCGGCCTGGTACCCTCATCAGTGGACGGCGACCTGGCATGCTTTCCGTCCAACTGGTACGCCGCATGAGGGTTATGCGCAGACAAATCATATCCTCTCACTTCGTGGTCTTCATGAACACGGAAAATCTTGAGGAATCTCATCACACCAAATACGATGATACTGCAACCGCCGACATAAGCCATGATGGCCACCACAGCGAGCAGTTGAATACCAAACTGGTAACCAGCACCAACATTTGGGGCGAAACTCATAGAACTCATACCCTTCGCGAAGTCGAAGAAGGGGACAGCCAGGACGCCCCACGTTCCGCAAACACCGTGGATAGGGAAAGCATCTAGAGGATCGTCAATCTTCAAATAACGAATGCCTACAGCGGCACACTGGTAGAAAATACCACCGATGGCTCCAATGATAATAGCGCTACCAGGAATGACGATAGCACAGCTAGCAGTGATCGAGACCAGACCGGCTAAGATGCCGTTACACACTGCGGCAACGTCGAATTTGTGACTAGGAAGAATACCAAAACGAATGATAAATAGAGTAAATCCACCAGAGGCACCAGAGAGGACAGTGTTAACAGCGGCTAGAGCGGCAGTATGTGCAGTAGCGGCATCACTCATGGTTAGTGTCGAGCCAGCATTGAAACCAAACCAGCCAAACCACAATATAAAGACGCCGATGACGATTAGAGGGATCGAATGGGGATCGAAAATAGCTTGATCAACTCTAGGATCAAACCTTCCCTTACGAGGACCCAATATAAAAGCGCCTACAAGAGCACCGGTGCCACCAGTAAGGTGGATTATACCGCTACCGGCAAAGTCGAAGTACGGTGAATCGAAGTCGTTGGTGAGCCAGAACTCGCCACTCCAACCCCAGGCCACAATAAAAGGATAAATGAACCCCGTCATGATCGCCGAGTACACGAAGTAGCTCACAGAATTGACACGTTCAGCTACACCTCCTGAAACGATAGTCGCTGCAGTAGCCGAGAAAGCCCATTGGAAGAACCAATCCTTAAGGGCGTATTCACCAGCAACTGGCACGTTGCTACCATCAGCAGGCCAGGAAGTGAGGCCACGCCCAAAGAAACCATGTGATTCACCATAGCCGTAGGCAATAGCAAAACCAAAAGCCCACCAGAAGAGAGTACCAACACAGACGTCTATGAGGTTCTTTAGGAGAATGTTCTGCACGTTATAAACTCTAACGGCACCAGCTTCAAGAGAAGCGAACCCGGCCTGCATGAACATAACCAATGCACCGCAGACGATGAGCCAAATGGTGTTGGTAGAGGCAGCAAGACCATCGTTAGTGACCGTCTGAAGGCCTCTAGAGGACTCTTCCAAGTCGGCTACTCGAGCTTGCAGCAGGCGGTAATCTCGGACTAGATCAGCGATGCTCGAGTCATCGGACGCTGTGACAACGATGAGCATCATCAACAACATGAAGAAGGTCGATGAAACCATTAAAGACACCATGGCAGTAACTAACAAGCAGAGTTGATTACACCTGTGATCAAATTGTGTATCACATCAAGTCGACTCAGGAATAACCACATAATGAGCTCATACTCTCGGGCGAGCGCCGAGTCTCGCATTGTGTGTTACAGATCGATTTGGGACGATGACAGAATTTGTGTCACACAAATGTTCTCATCGATTTTTCTGGTATCACATGCATAGTATAAAAGGCGCGGATTCGCAGGCGGACGAGGGCACCAAAAGTAACTTCGTCGATACGGCTGAAGGGATGCCAATTCCAACGAGGTACGGGAGTCAATCTCGGTGTGAGTAAGGCTACTCCCGTCCGAGAAGTAACGTTTTTAACTTAGAGAAATCCAACATTTGAAAACAGAGTTGGAAAATAGGGTCATTCGGCTTCGGATAGCTGTACTTCCGAACCCAGAGAAAATCTGGAATTTTACGACAAACTTTGGTGCGTCATTTTCATCCCAACTCGGAAAGGCTTCCTTTAAGAGAAGTTGGTATCGGAAAACAGAGCCCATTGATCAGTCTTTGACATTGTTGCTCATTTTGCATAATCCAGTGGTGTATTGCGAGTAAATGCGGTCGTTGATCCCGGTTGAATCGACCACCCCGAGCCACGCTCATCGACAGGAGCCCATTATTGATCACTCAGTTGTGAACTCAAACCCTCGTCATTCACTACTACTGCTATTACTATGTCAAACAGGGGTTCACATGAGATCCAAAAGAATACATTCGTTATTATGGGCTTTGAAAATATAAAATCAGTTCAGCGGAGAGAACTCATGTGCTACTAAGATCGTCAAAGTCATGAGCTCGGGAATCCACACTGACCCCAGCACTCAAGTCATTTGGCTTCAGCGTTGGTCGGCCAGCAGCAGCAGGAGCCGGCGGCCGACGGCATCGTTCTACCGTGGGAGGTACGTCAATGCGGAGGAACTGTACCATCCGGAAGAGCCCAAAGACCAACAAACTAGAGACTCCGACGAATGCTGTGATCACTACAACCGCAAGGAGTTGAATGCCGAATTGGTATCCAACACCAACGTTTGGCGCAAAACTGACCGCATCGAAGCCTTCTGAGAAATCTACAAGGGCTACTGCCAACACACCCCATATACCGCCAATTCCGTGTATAGGAAAAGCATCTACTGGATCGTCTATCTTCAATAGACGTATCGACCATGATGCTATTTGATACAGTATTCCGCCGACAACGCCCACGATCAGAGCCCCACTGGGCGTGACATTGGCACAAGAAGCCGTGATAGACACTAAGCCAGCGAGGATACCATTGCACAGTGCTTTAACGTTATATTTGTGATGTTTCAGCATTATGTATCGCAACGTGAAGGTTGACAATCCACCAGCTGCTGCAGCCAACGTTACGTTGACGGCGATCAAGCTAGCAGTGAGTGCTTGGGTAGAAGTATGCAATGCACGTGTTGATCCCATGTTGAAACCAAACCAGCCGAACCATAAGAAGATAGTGCCGAGTACTATCAGAGGCAGCGAATGAGGCTCGAAGACTATCTGACTGACGCCTTCCTTAAAGCGCCCTGACCGTGAACCCAGGACGATACTGCCAACGAGCGCACCAATTCCCCCTGTTAGATGAATAACTCCGCTACCCGCATAATCGTAGTAGGGAGATTGGAAGGACGTCCGTAGCCAACCATCAGGATTCCACGTCCAGGACACAACTACGGGATAGATAACACCAGTCATAACAGCAGAGTAGATAAGATAGCTTTCTATTCGGGCTCGTTCAGCGATACCCCCAGACACTATCGTTGCTGCAGTCGTCGAGTACCCCCATTGGAAGAACCACTCAGAGAGAGAGAACACGCCAGCTGAAGGCGTAGTGCTGTCAGTTGGCCATGACAATAGACCTTGACCGAAGAAAGCATGCTGAGTCTCCTGGAGACTGTACGCGATAGCGAAGCCGGTGGCCCACCAGCAGATGCCACCAACACAGATGTCGAGCACGTTCTTGAATAGGATACTCTCGACGCTATTGATCCTTACAGAGCCCACCTCTAGCGAAGCGAAACCGACTTGCATGAAAAAAATGAGAACTCCACAGCAGAGCACCCATAGAGTGTCAGTGGCAAAGGACAATTCCTTCACGGCCTCCTCTAGAGAGGAAATAACCGTGGGGTCAATAGAGGTTTGTAAATAGCGAAGATCAATAGTAGTCAGCGGGTCTACTGAGGAGACCGCATCTTCAACGCCTGCCGATTGAGCGATGGAAGCCACTACTAGACCCATAGTCAGTAGCAGCAACAGTTGTCGTCGTGTAATTGAGGAGAACATGGAAGCCGCTAACGAGGCTGTTGACAGCAGCGGAGTGTAATAGTAATTATTAGTTAATAAATGGCTACAAGAGTGCATCATCACTGTGGTATATTAACCCACTTGCTTGAGATCTCGCGAGACCGATGAATTTAAAACCCGAAGCAGCAATTGTAGGAAAAGGTTACACAGGAAGAGGCATTCGAAAGCCGATGGAATCATCTTCGACGCTCACTATTCCTCCCGTCCTCATCATCGTCCGCATGCTTATCTTCGATCAACGCATCTGACGCACGACAGAAGTTATGCTGAAAGCAAGCGAAGTGCGACTTACAGTTAAGCGCGCAGAGGGCCGAGATTAGTGACAGCTGTATGATCGTGGATTTCCAGGGCAAGTTAGATATGACGTCCTATATAGAACACCCTAGACCAAGAAGCAGAATCTTGACGAACCGACTACCATCAAAGGCTGAGGATCAGGGAGGTTGGGATTTCCGCTTTGGCATCTTAGTATAGTGGACATGCTCAGGAAGGGCGTTGTCAGAACAGCGCCGTGGCCAACGAGGCATGCTCGCAGCTGAGGGGGATGTGATGCTGTTATTGATAGAAGATGGAACCAGTACCCACCACAAGCTCGTCTGTTTTGTCTAAGTTGGGATGCCGCGATCGCAAGAAGGACATGACCCATTGAGAAAACTCCTCATATGATAGAGATATCATGTAAGGGATAACACCGGACCAAAGGCCGCCAACGCCGTCATACCTGAGTGACATGAGCTAGGATTGAACCTGGAATCTCCCGCTAGCCAACCAAATTTCCCCACCAACTTAGCGCCATGTGGATTATTACTTCACAGTTTCTTCGAAGCACTGCTGCAACCCACAATCCAAGATTGGGTCCTGACCATACACAGCAATACGAGCTGTTGCCAAGAGCAATGGATAGGTAATGAACTCCACAGCGTATCTAATGACCACGTGGTGATACTACCAAGGTACTGGGTATACTACCTATATGCTGCCTTCTTCTTCGGGCCTACATCACAGCTCGTAAGAGGATACTTGAGGAAGACTTTAGCACAACTGTGTAGGATGTTGACCTAACAAAAACAGGGGGGCGACTCATGAGGTGTAGCCGCCCAGTAGTCAGTGTAGCAATGAGGGGCCGCTATGCCATTCAGGAATCTATTTGGCGAATAGAGGGGTCGCTATGCCATTCAGGAATCTATTTGGCGAATAGAGAGGTCGCTATGCCATTCAGGAATCTATTTGGCGAATAGAGGGGTCGCTATGCCATTCAGGAATCTATTTGGCGAATAGAGTGGTCGCTATGCCATTCAGCAATCTATTTGGCGAATAAAGGGGTCACTATGCCATTCGGGAATCTATTTGGCGAATAGAGGGGTCGCTATGCCACTCAGGAATCTATTCGGCGAATAGAGAGGTCGCTATGCCATTCAAGAATCTAATTGGCGAGTAGAGGGGTCGCTAGGCCATTCACGAATCTATTTCACGAGCAGAGGGACCCCTATGCTACTAAAAAATCTATATGCCGAGTACAGAGAGCCGCTATGCAGCTCAGGGATTTATCTGCCGGACAGTAGGGCCACTATGCCATTCAGGGACCTATTTGCCGAACAGGCGGACAGCATTGCCACTCAGGAATCATTTTGCCGAACAAGAGGGCCGCTATGCCACTCACGAATGTTTGCTGAATATGGGGCCGCTATGCCACTCAGGATACTCGCCGAGTAGGGGGCCGCTATGCCATTCAGGAATGTTTACCGAATAGGGGACCGCTATGCCACTCAGGAATCTTGTTGTCGAACAAGAGGGCCGCTATGCCACTCAGGAATGTTTGCCGAATATGGGGCCGCTATGCCACTCAGGATACTCGTCGAGTGGGGGGTCGCTATGCCACTCAGGAATGTTTACCGAATAGGGGACCGCTATGCCACTCAGGAATCTTTTTGCCGAACAAGAGGGCCGCTATGCCACTCAGGAATGTTTGCCGAATATGGTGCCGCTATGCCACTCAGGATACTCGCCGAGTAGGGGGACGCTATGCCACTCAGGAATGTTTACCGAATAGAGGACCGCTATGCCACTCAAGAATGTTCCCCAGCTAGGGGGTCGCCATGCCAGTCAGGAATGTTGGCCGAATAGAGGGCCGCCATGCCACTCAGGATATTTGCCGAATAGGTGGCCGCTATACCACTCAGGAATATATTTGCCGAATAGGGGGCCGCTATACCACTCAGGAATATATTTGCCGAATAGGGGGCCGCTATACCACTCAGGAATCTATTTGCCGAATAGGTGGCCACTATACCACTCAGGAATCTATTTGCCGAAGAGGAGGGCTGCTACGTCTTCCTGTTGGGGTATCACATACATGAGTAAAGACTCTTCGAGTTTGATTACTTATGAACTTCCGTACTCCATATTTGCAGATTGGTGAACAAGTTTAGCGATGAACTTTGAATAAGATTTCTATTTCACCACTCAGGACTACCATTCCATGATTGGAGAGGACAGTTTCGCTCAAGGTATCAATTTAGACGGACAAAACGACTCGCTACGTCTTAGGTCGGCTGATATAGTACTCAAGTATCCAAATTCCTATAATGCCAATGAGCTCGTATACCGGTCCGACATCCTTAGTACATCAGCTCCTCGGTACAGTGCGGCCACACCGTAGACATGTTTAATATCCTTCATCTTGTGCAACACCAGAGGCATCCGAATCTTCTGAACCTTTCGCATAGCCATCAACTCAGGGTCCTTGTACACCAAAAGCCGGGCATTGGCCTGAAGTTGGAGAAGTATACGGAGATCCACTCAAAGTAACTAATACCATGAACATAGGATAGGTGAGCAAAAGCGTTGGGGAAGGGACCAGGTCTTTGAAGAGCTGCTTCACTGTACTTCCGTCGTCGTATTTAGTCATTGAGACAAACAACAAACTAATCCCAAGATTGTCAAGTATTATCCTTGAAGGACACATACCAAGACTTCTTGGGTTGAGTCCAGCTACTATACTACGACCTATTCTCTAGCCGAACAACTCAAGGATTCATAATGGACCCTTGAGATCGGACGTCACTATCATTTACAGAAATGGGCCTACCATGAAGACTCACGGGTCAATCAGGATGAACCGTACCCGCCGTATGCCTCAAACAATGAGTACTGAATCAGATCTCGTGGGGTTTTACTATCGATTCACGTCACTTGGCAACCAAATTCCCCTTCGTGGCGAACCAAAGCCCAATCCTATCCTGCACTCATGTGCAAGTTACAACTTAATTGGTGTAAGAAGATTCCCAAAGGAAACAATCAGTGTCAATATTGAACAACGGCGAAGCTTGAGCAGGGAAACGTTGATAACCTGAATAACCTTCACCACCTTGCTTGCTTGGCACTTTCCAAATCGGCAATGGGGAACAATTCAGATCATTAGATTATTGAGTCCATGAGGTACTTGGTCACAGCGTGACCGTCATACTCGTCGAGTGGATGTATGAAGAATGGCATTCCGGCCCCAGTTTCGATTTGACCAACGCCGGCCAGTGACCTAGGATGCCGAAAGCACTCCTCTCCTTGCAAAGAATCTTGAGGTCGCACCAAATGAGGGCGAGCGCGTCCTCCAACGGCGCATGCTCATGCGTGCAGGAAATCTCGCTCGCCACCCGTCGCGCATCCAAACATTTCCGTGGTATTCGAATGTGAAGTCGCATCCTCGTGTACACTATCGAATATTCTGCATTCTCTCACTCAGGTTTTCAAGCTCTTCGACATCTTTAAAAATGGCTAAGAAGTCCCCCGCTATCGGTATCGATCTTGGTACTACTTATTCCTGTGTTGGCGTCTGGAAAAACGACACGGTTGAGATCATCGCCAATGACCAGGGTAACCGTACCACCCCTTCCTATGTTGCCTTCACCGACACCGAGAGGTTGATCGGCGATGCCGCCAAAAACCAGGTTGCCAGAAACCCTGAGAACACCGTCTTTGATGCCAAGCGTCTCATTGGCCGCAAGTTCAACGATCAGGTCGTTCAGCACGATATAAAGTTATGGCCTTTTAAGGTCTCTTCTGGTGCAGATGGCAAGCCTATGATCGAGGTGCACTATCAGGGCGAGGTCAAGAAGTTCCATGCTGAAGAGATCTCGTCTATGGTGCTGGTAAAGATGAAGGAGACTGCTGAGGCATATCTTGGCACTAAGGTCGACGATGCCGTCGTCACTGTCCCTGCATACTTCAACGATTCTCAGAGACAGGCCACCAAGGATGCCGGTTCCATTGCTGGTCTCAACGTCCTTCGTATCATCAACGAGCCTACTGCCGCGGCTATCGCCTACGGTCTCGATAAGAAGGGTGAGGGTGAGAAGAACGTCCTCATCTATGATCTTGGTGGCGGAACCTTCGATGTCTCCCTCTTGACCATCGAGGATGGTATCTTCGAGGTCAAGGCCACTGCTGGTGATACTCATTTGGGTGGTGAGGATTTCGATAACCGCATCCTGGATTTCTGCATGCAGGACTTCAAGCGTAAGAATCGTGGCAAGACTATCGAGGGCAACCAGAGGGCTATGCGTCGTCTTCGTACTCAGTGCGAGCGCGCTAAGAGGACTCTCTCTTCCTCTACCCAGGCCAGCATTGAGATCGATTCTCTGTTCGAGGGTATCGATTACAACTGCACTCTCTCCCGTGCTCGTTTCGAGGAGCTTTGCATGGACTACTTTCGTAATTCCATGGGTCCTGTCGAGAAATGTCTCCGTGATTCTGGCATCGACAAGCGCAATGTACACGAAGTTGTCCTTGTTGGTGGTTCCACTCGTATCCCTAAGGTTCAGTCTATGATTCAGGATTTCTTCAATGGCAAGGAGCCTTGCAAGTCCATCAACCCTGATGAGGCTGTTGCTTTCGGTGCCGCTGTTCAGGCTGCTATTCTCACCGGTGAGGGTTCCAGCCAGGTCCAGGACCTCCTACTTTTGGATGTGACTCCTCTTTCCCTCGGTCTCGAGACTGCCGGCGGTGTTATGACCAAGCTCATTGAGCGTAACACTACCATCCCTACCAAGAAGAACCAGACCTTCACCACTTACGCTGATAACCAGCCTGGTGTGTTGATCCAGGTCTTTGAGGGTGAGCGTGCTATGACCAAGGACAACAACATTCTCGGCAAGTTCCACCTGGATGGCATCCCGCCAGCTCCTCGTGGCGTCCCCCAGATCGAGGTTACCTTCGATATTGATGCTAATGGTATCCTCAACGTGAGTGCTCAGGATAAGTCCACTGGCAAGAGCAACAAGATCACTATCACCAACGAGAAGGGCCGTCTCTCCCAGGCTGATATTGACCGCATGGTCAACGAGGCCGAGAAGTACAAGGCTGAGGATGAGGCCAACAAGGAGAAGGTTGAAGCCAAGAACGGTCTCGAGAACTACTGCTACACTCTGAAGAACACTCTTCAGGACGAGAAGCTCAAGGATAAGATCTCTGATGATGACAAGGCCGCTATCGAGAAGGCTGTTTCCGAGGCTCTGGACTGGCTCGACAAGAATCAGTTGGCCGAGAAGGAAGAATTCGAGGCTAAGCAGAAGGAAGTTGAAGGTGTTGTCAACCCCATCATGATGAAGGTCTACCAGGCTGCTGGTGGTGGAGCTAGTGGTATGCCCGAGGGTGGATCGCCGCCTCCTGCTGCCGGTGGTTCGGGACCTACTGTGGAAGAGGTCGACTAATTATATTCGGGCGAACTCTAATAGTGCATATTCTCTTTTTTTAGAATGACGAGATTCTATAAGCCACATACAAACACCGTAAAGACACCCCATCTGTATTCATGTCGTCTTGTGTTGCCAGTCTTTTCAATCTCGACAACGGTCTGTTCTTTCTTAGGTCACCAAGTGGTGTGGAAAGGAATGTCGTAAGATGTCAACGTGCATGCAAGTGCATGCGCGGTCACAGTCAATTAGCTATAGATCACCTTCGGGCGCGCGCCTTATGTATCTAATTCGTTCATAGTCTCCTCTTAAACCATGTCCGACAAGAAGTCTCCCGCTATTGGTATCGATCTCGGTACCACCTACTCCTGTGTCGGCGTTTGGAAGAACGACACTGTCGAGATTGTCGCCAATGACCAGGGTAACCGTACCACTCCTTCCTATGTTGCTTTCACCGACACCGAGAGGTTGATCGGTGATGCCGCTAAGAACCAGGTTGCCAGGAACCCTGAGAACACCGTCTTCGATGCCAAGCGTCTCATTGGCCGCAAGTTCAACGATCCCGTTGTTCAACACGATATGAAGATGTGGCCCTTCAAGCTTATTGATGGTTCTGATGGCAGGCCCATGATTGAGGTCACCTTCAAGGGTGAGACTAAGAGGTTCCACGCCGAGGAAATCTCCTCCATGGTCCTCACCAAGATGAGAGAGACTGCTGAGGCCTTCCTCGGGACCAAGGTCAACGATGCCGTCGTGACTGTCCCTGCTTACTTCAACGATTCCCAGAGACAGGCCACCAAGGATGCCGGTTCCATTGCTGGTCTCAACGTCCTTCGTATCATCAACGAGCCTACTGCCGCTGCTATCGCCTACGGTCTCGATAAGAAGGGTGAGGGTGAGAAGAACGTCCTCATCTACGATCTTGGTGGCGGAACCTTCGATGTCTCCCTCTTGACCATCGAGGATGGTATCTTCGAGGTCAAGGCCACTGCTGGTGATACTCATTTGGGTGGTGAGGATTTCGATAACCGCATCCTCGACTTCTGCATGCAGGACTTCAAGCGCAAGAATCGTGGCAAGACCATCGAGGGCAACCAGAGGGCTATGCGTCGTCTTCGTACTCAGTGCGAGCGCGCTAAGAGGACTCTCTCTTCCTCTACCCAGGCCAGCATTGAGATCGACTCTCTGTTCGAGGGTATCGATTACAACTGCACTCTCTCTCGTGCTCGTTTCGAGGAGCTCTGCATGGACTACTTCCGTAACACCATGGGCCCCGTTGAGAAGGTTCTCCGTGATTCTGGCATCGACAAGCGCAATGTTCATGAGGTCGTTCTTGTTGGTGGTTCCACTCGTATCCCTAAGGTTCAGTCTATGATTCAGGACTTCTTCAATGGCAAGGAGCCTTGCAAGTCCATCAACCCTGATGAGGCTGTCGCTTTCGGTGCCGCTGTTCAGGCTGCTATTCTCACCGGTGAGGGTTCCAGCCAGGTCCAGGACCTCTTGCTTCTGGATGTGACTCCTCTCTCTCTCGGTCTCGAGACTGCCGGCGGTGTTATGACCAAGCTCATTGAGCGTAACACTACCATCCCTACCAAGAAGAACCAGACCTTCACCACCTACGCTGATAACCAGCCCGGTGTGTTGATCCAGGTCTTCGAGGGTGAGCGTGCTATGACCAAGGATAACAACATTCTCGGCAAGTTCCACCTGGATGGCATCCCGCCAGCTCCCCGTGGTGTCCCCCAGATCGAGGTTACCTTCGATATTGATGCTAATGGTATCCTCAACGTGAGTGCTCAGGATAAGTCCACTGGCAAGAGCAACAAGATCACTATCACCAACGAGAAGGGTCGTCTCTCCCAGGCTGATATCGATCGCATGGTCAACGAGGCCGAGAAGTACAAGGCTGAGGATGAGGCCAACAAGGAGAAGGTTGAAGCCAAGAACGGTCTCGAGAACTACTGCTACACTCTGAAGAACACTCTTCAGGATGAGAAGCTCAAGGATAAGATCTCGGATGAGGACAAGGCCGCTATCGAGAAGGCTGTCAACGAGGCTCTCGAGTGGTTGGACAAGAATCAGTTGGCCGAGAAGGAAGAGTTCGAGGCTAAGCAGAAGGAAGTTGAGGGTGTTGTTAACCCCATCATGATGAAGGTCTACCAGGCTGCTGGTGGTGATGCTGGCGCTGCCCCTGGTGCCGCTCCCGGAGAGGGTCCTGCACCCGGTGGTGCTCCTTCCGGTCCCACTGTCGAGGAGGTCGACTAAGCATTCTAAGAGATGTCTTTGGGCGCATATGACGTACATTTGATCTGCTGGTTGGATTGCATAGAAACTCGAGATGAGTATTCGATTAACGCGGTATTTCAACACACACCTGAATTGTACGACTGTAGTGTTAGTCAATTGCATGAATTCGAAGACAAATAAACGAGTACTCTCCATTATAAATCCAACTTCATTGTTCAATCAGTTTGGCCGTAGTAGATGACGCTTTTCCACTGGGGGCACCATACTAGTTTGCCGATGAGAAGCTGACGTCATGCTTTTACATTCATACTCGATTTCTACGAATTGTTGGCAAGACGCAACGAATCTGCTTTGTCGAGATGTCTGATAATCCGGAGAGCTTGATCGCAGGGCTTATCTCACCTGATCATCGTACTGGAAACTGTTCACAGTAGACAGTAGACAATTTATCGACTCAATCGAACAGGATATAACAAAGCTTTGTGCAACGCTGCGCCGTGTCCCCCTTCCCAGATTGTCTGCTATATTTCATCATCGGTTCCATTCATACTCTATTTGTTTACCATGTCTGATAAGAAAACTCCCGCTATCGGTATTGATCTTGGTACTACCTACTCCTGTGTAGGTGTCTGGAAAAACGACGCTGTCGAGATCATCGCCAATGACCAGGGTAACCGTACCACCCCTTCCTATGTTGCCTTCACCGACACCGAGAGGTTGATCGGTGATGCCGCTAAGAACCAGGTTGCCAGGAACCCTGAGAACACCGTCTTTGATGCCAAGCGTCTCATTGGCCGCAAGTTCGACGATCCCGTTGTTCAGCACGATAGGAAGATGTGGCCTTTCAAGGTTGTGAGTGGCTCTGATGACAAGCCGATCATTGAGGTCGACTATAAGGGCGAGCACAAACAGTTCCATGCCGAGGAGATCTCCTCCATGGTTCTTGGTTATATGAAGGAGACTGCCGAGGCCTTCTTGGGCTCTAAGGTCAATGATGCTGTTATCACTGTCCCTGCTTATTTCAACGATTCCCAGAGACAGGCCACCAAGGATGCCGGTTCCATTGCTGGTCTTAACGTCCTTCGTATCATCAACGAGCCTACTGCCGCTGCTATCGCCTACGGTCTCGATAAGAAAGGTGAGGGTGAGAAGAACGTCCTCATCTACGATCTTGGTGGCGGAACCTTCGATGTCTCCCTCTTGACCATCGAGGATGGTATCTTCGAGGTCAAGGCTACTGCTGGTGATACTCATTTGGGTGGTGAAGATTTCGATAACCGCATCCTCGACTTCTGCATGCAGGACTTCAAGCGTAAGAATCGTGGCAAGACCATCGAGGGCAACCAGAGGGCCATGCGTCGTCTCCGTACTCAGTGCGAGCGCGCTAAGAGGACTCTCTCTTCCTCTACCCAGGCTACTATCGAGATTGATTCCCTTTTCGAGGGTATCGATTACAACTGCACTCTATCTCGTGCTCGTTTCGAGGAGCTCTGCATGGACTACTTCCGTAACACTATGGGCCCCGTTGAGAAGGTTCTTCGTGATGCTGGTATTGACAAGAGGAGTGTCAACGAGATCGTTCTTGTCGGCGGTTCCACTCGTATCCCCAAGGTCCAATCCATGATCAAGGAGTTCTTCAATGGCAAGGAGCCTGCTAAGTCCATTAACCCTGATGAGGCTGTCGCCTACGGTGCCGCTGTTCAGGCTGCTATTCTCACCGGTGAGGGTTCCAGCCAGGTCCAGGACCTCCTGCTTTTGGATGTGACTCCTCTCTCCCTCGGTCTCGAGACTGCCGGCGGTGTTATGACCAAGCTCATTGAGCGTAACACTACCATCCCCACTAAGAAGGCTCAGACCTTCACCACCTACGCTGATAACCAGCCCGGTGTGTTGATCCAGGTCTTCGAGGGTGAGCGTGCTATGACCAAGGATAACAACATTCTCGGCAAGTTCCAGCTCGAGGGTATTCCCCCAGCTCCTCGTGGTGTCCCCCAGATCGAGGTTACCTTCGATATTGATGCTAATGGTATCCTCAACGTGAGTGCTCAGGATAAGTCCACTGGCAAGAGCAACAAGATCACTATCACCAACGAGAAGGGTCGTCTCTCCCAGGCTGATATCGATCGCATGGTCAACGAGGCCGAGAAGTACAAGGCTGAGGATGAGGCCAACAAGGAGAAGGTTGACGCCAAGAACGGTCTCGAGAACTACTGCTACACTCTGAAGAACACCCTTCAGGACGAGAAGCTCAAGGATAAGATCTCGGATGAGGACAAGGCCGCTATCGAGAAGGCTGTCAACGAGGCTCTCGAGTGGTTGGACAAGAATCAGTTGGCCGAGAAGGAAGAGTTCGAGGCTAAGCAGAAGGAAGTTGAGGGTGTTGTTAACCCTATTATGATGAAGGTCTACCAGGCTGCTGGTGGTGATGCTGGCGCTGCTCCTGACGCCGCTCCCGGTGCCCCTGGTGCTCCTGGTGCTGGTGCTGCCCCTACCGGTAGCAGTTCCGGTCCGACTGTCGAGGAAGTTGATTAAATCTGAACTCACACACTTTTACAAGAGTTGTTTCAAATACCGTTCGACTTGAAGGCTTTAGTTTTCATCAGTTGATGAGCAAACATGTACAAAACTCGTGGATGTATGGGTGGAAGGGTTGAATACAGTAGGCAAACTGTCGTAATATAAACCGGCCCCAAGATCAGATTGCCATTCGGCACTACCCTCGAAAGTTGGGGTTGAGACTTTGAACCCCTGCTCTGAACTGATGCTTGGGTACCCTACTCTGAACTTCAGAGCAGGGTCTATATGAGGGTCTTGATGTAACAGGTGATCCAGAGCATCTACTCTTGAACGAGAAATCAGGATCATTGCGATGATATATGAGTCTTCGACCTGCTTCGATAATTTATCGAAGCATTAAATCTACAGTTGATTATTTGGCTGATTAGAAATCTTATTCGATATACCTTGCTTATGAGGCATAATTTTCAGGTGATTCCATTGAGTCTGAGTATTTTTAAGAATCAGGGAATCACGGTTTGAATCAGACATTCTCGACAAGATACACTCTTGTCGCTACACCCAGTAACTGAAAGTCAGAAGTTCAAGAAAGGAAGAAGACCTCACTCTTTGAGGTCAGAATTCGGGAGGTTCGGTCCGCATCCTAGAACGTTCCCTGCTGCACTAGAGGAATGACGGAAATCTTTCGTACATCTAACTTTTCAATATGTTCACTAGAACGTCGGAGTCAACTTAACAAGTCGGCTAACTCTGGGCCTCGACTATTGAGCTCGAACAGCGTAATCCATTCGGAATTGGAGTGTACTAAGGAGTCCCCACTATGGTAAGAGTACTACTACTGTTAGTACGCAGTAGCGTACTAGCGTAGTAGCGTTTATTGACTCAGTGCCAAAAGCTCTGAATTCAGTGGCTGATTAAAATCAAGGATGAAGGATTTTGCTCGCGATTACGTGATCTGACTCTGTCTCGAGAATTCATACTCAGAAATCTCGACTACTTCTCCTGAACAGGGAATCTGAATCAGTTCTCTCGAATCCGGGTGAGTTGAATCACGAATCGGAACCACGGGGTGAGTCTAAACTTAATCATGGACTCAGATTCGCGAATCAGTATCCGCATACGGTTCCAGCAAACGACAGCCAGTATTTTAACCTGAAGCCCGGAAGCCTGCGATGCAGTCACTCTGAATGGCAGATTACGACCCCAGGGGGTGCTTAGTGAGTGGCCAAGTACGGCTGAGAGTGTATTGTGAGGCTGTGGCGTTGTGGATCCAAGTTAGGTGGTGACTGCACCGAGCTGCACGCAACAACCTTCACCGAGGGTGCGACGAGTGGAAAGAAAATGAGTCAGCCACAATCTGGCGATCGACTCGTAGCGATAGACTCGTCTGGTACTCACGCCGTCCGTTGACGCTTGTGGCTAACAGGACGGTTCGCTTTGATGTCTCGTGAAAGCTGTCCGGAATGTTGTGAACAGGACGCAACCCACTCACGTCCGGGAGGTCTGGTGAACAAAAGAGCCGACCCCCAATACGGGATTCAGTCGGAAGACTAAGCTTCAACCGGAAACCCACACTTGAGCACTTGAAAGTGCTCCAGGTCGCTGGTGTAAAACTAATCTAACTTCTAGCACTCGTATCGTTCTATCGTACTAGCGTTAGTAGTGCGCTACTGCGGGCTAGGCCCATGTAGCATGCGTTATGCATAGATAATGAGTGATTGTATGATCCTGTTGCCCCACACAGAATAGTAGTGCCCATCACTTAAACGCAAAACATATTCCTTGTGAGGAATATTGTAGAGGGACCCATCATCAGGGCATTACCATAATCACAAAACGAATCGACGAGAGTAGCAGCGATCCCGCCAGCTCAACAGTCCAACCGGTTGTTTTACCATGACAGGATACAGGGCAGAAAGATAGAGAAGAAATTCCCGGCCGAGCCACAGCAACCAGAACCTTCAGAAATGACAGAACAATTAAAACCACTACTGACGACGACGGTGACGATGGAGTTCTATGAGGGCATCACCACAGCACCTCAGAGGATATCCCTCCTCAGCACAACAACGGCTCGTCACAGCTACTTGGCATACTTCATGATGGCCTCGTCGGTCAGTACCGCAACATGCTCCAAATCACGGAAGTGCTAAAGAACACCATGAAAGTAGTTGAAAGGATAGTCGGTAATCTCACCTCGTTGTAATCCAAACAGAAACCAACGATGAAATCATCTGGTACCTGAGACAGCCACCACATGATGAATATGAACATCAATATCGACCCTACAGAGAATCCAACAAAGTCACCTCTGAAACCGCACGCTTTGGAAGTTCGTTTTTCAACCAGTGTAGCAACCTACTAGTACGAAAACAATCTCCGTCCATTCATCGTCACAGAAAGGCGCCCACCTTGATGGACTTGGGCCCGAACATTTCCAGATGCTTACAGAACTTGGACAGAGTATTGCCAGTATCAACAATATCCTCAACAATAAGTACGTCCTTATCCTTTAGGACCTGCCACACAACGACTTCATTTCATTTCATCCGAGCTCATTACTGATAGGTCATCGGCCATCACATTCAACTTCCCCGTGCTTTCTGTGTTATGATAGCTTTTAATTCTGACGTAGTGCTCCTGATACGGCGCGTGATGCATATTCGTCGTGTACCTATGGACATCTAATATGCACACGTGCTGGTGACAACATGAAAATTCTGCAGGACTTTCGGGAAATTCTTACTAATTCTTGTGCATTTCTACCTAGATTCGTATGTATAAACTCTCGAACTCAGCTGAGGAAAGCAATCATATATTCCAACACTGAAAGCTGTTCACTCAGTCGCACTCCAACCCCACCTATGAATGCGATTCAGATATCCAACGAGTTCAGAGAAGAACCCACGACTGCCTTTGAGAATACACAGTAAATGCAGCTCAGTATCGCCGTAACTGCCATGAAAAAATTCGACCGCTGCGCCACAAAATTACACAAGCCTCACGATTGACGAATATCCATAGCCAGTTTTTCTGTACGGTCCAGAATGAGCCCCTTTGGCAACATAATCCTCTTCAAATCGTTCTTGTAATGAGGCGGAACCAGGAAATGCTCCAAGTGGTACAGCTCTCTAAAACAACATCCAGAATACTGTCACTAAAAATCCACCCCTGACTACATTACTCATCGTCATCCTTCACAAAGATAGGCTCCTTACGATCAACTCCCTTACCGACATAATCATACGAATAAACAGCCTCTGTGCTGCACTTGTCGCTCATATTAGTAGCCATTCACGTGAGGGGAACTACCAGGGATAACCGATAGGAGGAGCAGTAGTTACCGCATGTCGACCATTCTACCACCAACAGCTACATTAACCTCACACGCTTACCAAAGACAACAAACCTCCCAAAGGTACATAGGGATAAACACTAAACCCAACAAGACAGCCCTCGAGAAAAACTTATCGAATACTTCATATACTCATCAGTGATACATGGAACAGTTCATAGATATTACCTCGAATATAACGTCCGCAGAGATCTCTCATTTTCACTACCTCTTCCCCTTGCCGGTTAGCATAGCACTTCCAACTCATTAACATATAGCGGCTGCACGCATGCACACGCATCTGGATCGACTATTCCTATGCGGAAGGGCGAAACTTGGCATCTCCTTGATGGTATGGCAGGGCGGGTGTGACATCATACATGGGGGAAGTGACAAGGACTGTTACGATGATTGAGAGGGAGTGTTAACACAATGCCGATCTCAGAAGGAGTCAGACTCTAGTCAAACAAGGTATGGGGGTTGAATCAGATGTTATGACGTCTGGAAGGCTCCTTCAACGATGATATGGCCAAGGAGCGGTACGATAAAAATAATAGTTATTATTATCATTATCATCAAGCCGTCTTCATATTTACAACAATTCTTATCATAACTTACCACAAAGGGTATCCAACAACAGTGTTGTTGACATCAGATTTGGACATCTTCACAATTTCAGCAGTAGTGATGATGATGTTATTATTATGATACACTCGAGTGTGTCACGATGGCGGTGAAGTGCAGCAAAGATCTCACTCTTATAATAATACCACTAAGGTTACAAACGCTTCCACATAAATCAGCGCCTCAGTGACGTTTGCTCCTCATGGTAGTTCTTGATGAATAAAGATCCTTCTTCTCACTTACTGGGGATGATGATCCGAATCGTCTGGGACTATAAGTATTAAATATCTAAACGAGATGAATAATATTTCAGTATAAAAATACCGTCCGTGGGATTCGAACCTGGGTGCCGCCTCCACGAATAGTTGATGATGGACCAGTAAGAAAGTGCTCCTTCATCTGAATGCCAATCATCCCAGGATCTCCCCTTCCTCTTTTAATTTGGAAGTTCCTCCATTCCGCATACACCCGCTTCAAAAGTGTCTTCGTTTCCTTCACTGCAGCCAAATACCTACCAATAATAACATCCACTATTATCATTCCGCATGATATTGATATTGATATTAATGATGATGATGATGATGATGATGATGATGATGATGATATTGATGATGATGATGATGATGATGATGATATTAATGATGATGATGATGATGATGATGACGATGATACTACCCTTCCCTAGTAACACAGCTAATACACAGATGTAGAGGATCGGGGGACTCTCGTCTAAGAGTCCCTTCTAGGTATCTACAACAACGCACCAATAATTCCTCATAAACTAGCATCACCTCTTACCCAGATCCCTGTCCTCTCAGACGTAACTTAGCGTTAGACAGCCCAACTATCCTCTTCATATTGCTTCCTTTATTCCCAATGATCCTTCTAGCAACCTGATGATCAAATATTCCGTCACTCGCCACGAAACTCCCCC